CACGGAATGGGCATAACCTGCGTAATAAAACGGACGTCAGCAGCTTCGGCGCTATTGGAATCAGACCTATGCCCCTGTGTTTGGAACAGGCGTTGCGACAGCCCTTCTTGTAGATAGGCGTGACAATCGATTCTCCCCATGTGTGGGGTACACTTTCAGTTTCCCAGCTCTTCGAGAACAGTCTCACGATTTCTCTTACGAGAGCATCTCCACCATCTTTAAGGAGCGCAGTTGGCAGGCCGTCTGATCCAGCTGCCTTGTGGCGTTTCAGGACTTAGAGTTCCTTTCAGATCTCCGCTTCTGTGGGCGGTCCCGTGGATAGTGACCAGGGTGCACTCTCAAGAGATCTGCTTGGGCAGCCAGCGCGATGAAGTGCTCCGCCCAGCGTTCCAATCGCCGGTGAAGGTTGTTTATTAGCGTGCCATCTACTTCGCAGATTGTTTCACTAACGCACTGTCTTTTGGGGCCTGTAGCACGGATGAGCTGGAAGAGTTGCCGGGTGTTTCCACATCTTGCCGCTGATTCCACCTCCTTTGCACGTAACGTCCGCCAGGCCTCTCTATCGTCTCTCAAACTGTGAGTTCACGCTTCAGAGAGGCGCTGTTCGTTGTACTCGCGGTCTGCCGGAATTGCCCGACGCGCGTCGAAGAGCCAGAGAGTTGGAGGAAACCCAATGATTTACAACTCGGCGGGTTAGGCCACAACTGTTTAAACCGGCTGAGTGCATTGTGTTTTGAATGGCTGTCCAGTGTTGATCTGCGCTACTTGGTGGGGTAGTAGTTAGCCTTGCGACCAACTCGTTTCAGTAATCGGCTAGTACGGTCGGGTCAGAGAACTTGACGACGTCGATCTATCTGTATCGCATCTTTTTGCAGCCACCAAAACACAGACAACTTGGCACAAACCAGTGTGGGGGGCGGGTGGAAGTGTTGCGTGCAGATTTTAAGAGAGAGCTTTGCATATTTAAGATTCTGAGACATGTGTGAATGCGTAAGTTCGTAAATCCATGGTTAGATTGTGGACGTGGTATTACTCGGTTGCCCAGGCCGAAGTAGAAGGCTTTCTTGGGGGACCCTACCCGGAGCCTTTGGTCAAAGAACCTGACCTGAGGAGGCACTGCCGAGGCAAGATCTGAAGAACAAAACCCCAAAATAGTAACGTTAGAACAGGGAAAATGAAGCAACTACCCAACGATGGTCTGGTGACTACAGACTAAAGGTTAGGGAAGAATTATCGATCAGCCGGATGGCGTTTCTTTGAATACGATCATGAACATGAACATAACACGAATCTTTTTGTCAGACTAATGTTGTACAGACTGATCTTTTTTTGACCCGGGCTATGTACTGCTGTTCATATTGTCTCGATGATCATTTCAGTATGGCATATCGGGCATGTGACCGAATGGCAAAGCAAAATATTCGCCAAACCTGCACCGGAAGGTAAGACATGCAATTTATGCATCCGCCTCTTTTTTCTCTTGTTTCATTTGCTCAATTAAAGAAACACCTGTCCTCTAATATCCTTTCGTAACAAAATATTGCTCAAAGTGCTTCTTGAATCTAATTGATTGATCAAAGACTGACTCACTAAGAGGACGAACAATGAGTCCAATTATATCAATAGATTTTGGTTAGTTATAGCCAATAACTTGAAGATATGAGTTATGCTGTTCGTGTATCTTGAGCAGTAACATGGATAGCATTTAGTTCAGTTCAGTTTGTACAACCATTAACCATACACTTGTGTGCGCTGGTTTCGGTTGCTGTCTCTTGGCTGCCCATTTGGATGAACAGTACGAGGAGGACAATAAGGCTGAAAGAGGAATCAAAGAGAAAATTTGGAATTTCAGTGGTTTAATGTTGCAGAGAAATTGACAGGATGCACAATGGAGAAGTTCAGTGGACTAAGGGTGGGAAGAAATTGAGAAGATGCACGAACGCCACTGTCGGAGAAGTTCAGTGGACTAAGGTTGCAAAGAAAGTGAGGAGATGCACAAACGCCACTGTTTACGACACCCAGCCATATCACTCAGTGTCTCTAACCATCGGGTACGATCATCCCGAGGTCCCCGTCCAGGGAGCCTATGTGACCCAGACTCCTGGTTAGGGTATTCATACCCTCGTGCCAGGTTTTAGATTGACCACTCTTGGCTTTTTCCACCCACTGCCTACCTCGACAAACATTGCTCGCCGTGGCAACCTATTTGGTGACATGCGTAACACATGCCTCAACCAACGTAATCCATGGAGGCCGACCACTTGCTCCAGTGGGCGACCGCGGTTGCCTAAGACTTTGCGCCTGACCTCAGCGGCTGTCTCACTGGATTCCTGCTATGCTGCTGTCGGTGTTCAAACACCGACAATCCATCCTGTTTTCCTAATGGCCAAGTTTCTTCGCCAGTGACTGGGGGCCAGTTCATACGCCTTTCGGGTGCGGCCAACTATCCAGGGTAACCAGATTGCCCTTGAGTCGCGCACTTGCCGGTGAGCATCACGGTGATCAACTCCAAAGATTAACTTTGGAGACCGGTTCGGTTGCGCCAAAGATTGGTGCCACTATGATCTTAGGCCAGATGTGGGTGGTTTGGAATCACGGTTTAGCCAACTCCCCTAGACTGACTACCAGTGGAAAACACCGGGCATTCTTCTTGGCCCTCCCAATTTAGTGTTAACACCTCTGCCACGAGAAGCCGGTGGGTTGAACTTCCTGAGCAAAAGCTATTTGAGGCGCTTGGTCGTTTGTGAGCATTTCTTGAGGAGTTCGGGACGAATGGCGATTTCGGAGCCCGAGACACCCACTCCCGACCATACTGAGGCATTTGGAGGCAAAAACATAATCACAACGGAATTGTAAAAGGTGGTGCGCGAGTGCATTAAGGTTTAAATTTATTGCGGGTGACAGAAGTGCAAATGGAGCGTGAGAGGGCCGAGTGTAAAGGATGTGATGCATCAGATAAGAATGAGTCACACAAACGGTCGCACGCATCAAGGTGTTGGTTGACAATGGAGTCGACTAGCGCCACATAAGAAACGGCTCCGTATCTAGAGGTGCTTTTCGGTGAGCGTTTAATGAATATAAAATCCTTAGACAACAGTCGGTCCATTGGTGTAAAACTCACTATAAATTAAATTTAGAAACTGCATACAGAAGCACCCTCAGATGTCGAAGTCGTGAGATCTAAAACGTCAGCTTGTACGTGGTAGGACCATTTGAGGTCAACAGACCGAAAACATCCAAGGTAATTGAAGTTCTATGACTGTTCAACGTTTAAGTTTTTGATGGCCTACGACTAATGAGAAATAAAACTTCGAA